ACCAGTTTATACTGCTTATCTAAACAGAATTGGTACTACTTGTCTAATGATTTTTTTTTTTTGAGAAAATGTATATCCAATATATATGTTCGTACTGATTATTTAACTTATCGGTGATGGTTATCCGACTTTTTTTTTCTTGTACTTTTATGAAAGTGATTGTCCAATTTTTTATATTGATTATCTAACCAGTTTGTACTCCTTATCCTATTATTTTTACTGGTTATCCAAATAATTTGTAATGGTTATCCGATCATTTTTTTTCTAAAAAAATGGTTATCCAATGTTTTCATACCGGTTATCCAACTGTTTTGTATTTGTAATGTTTTCATACCGATTATCATTGTCTAGTTTTTTTTTACTGACTATCTAACCGTTTTGTATTGGTTATCCAACCATTTTTACTGCTTATCCAAACATGGTTATGGTAGATCTAATGCTCTGCATTACTTATCCAGCGTGTTTGTACTGGTTATCCAGCCAATGTATATTGATTGTCCAAATATTTCTGTAAATTCCCAGAAACAATGGATAAGTAATATACTGCAACAGTACTGTCAAATACTAGTTATCTAACTGGTTACTGATGATTATCCAATCATTTTCTACCATTTTTCTAACCCTTTCTTCTTTTTATAATGGAGGTAGTTTCTGATGCTTGTCCATAGTCTTTCTTCTGGTCATCAAACCGGTTTGCACTAGTTATCCAAGAGCTCTCTACTTCTTATCCAAATGTTTGTTAGTACAACATTACTGTCAAATAAAAGAGGTTGGATAAGTACTAGGAAACCGGTGGATAGGCGGCATCCTGATTCAAATTCACTCTCACATTTTTTATTGCCTATCCATCGGTTTTCTATTGCTTATCCAACGTCTTTGTACTGACTATCCAAGATAATATTTCCTTCTTTTCTACCCGAAACATTTTATTTTTTTTTATTTTCAAAATTAATATTCAATATCGATCATATCGGATAGATCTCGTCGAGTACTATAAATTTTATACATAATTTGTTTTCTAATTTTTTACAGGTTGAGAAATATAAGGGACACAACAATATGAATGTAAAATAAGTTCGTTATCCATCTTCTTCAACTGGATATCCATACAAATAACATATAAATTTCCTTCATTTCTGCCCATCAAAATTTAGTCATTTTTAATTTCGAAAAAATATTCAACATGGATCTTGTTGGATAGATCTCAATGAGTACTATGAATTTTATATATAATTTGTTTTCTAATTATTCACGGATTAAGAGATATGCTCATTTTAAAATTAGAGATATTTTATGAGGAGAGAGAAAAAAAAGTGATAGGGACTAAACTTGCAAAACATAAGAAGTTTGAGAAAAAGTACAATAAGGATCATATGTGCAAAAAAATAGGAGGGGACCATGGTGGTTCCGGGTCCAACTAAGAATTTGCCGATAATGATGATGTATCCCGATATTCCCCTCACGAAAAACTGAATCCAAGACATAATTGGAAATAATGAAATCAAGAAAGTAACTTATATGAATTTGGTTGATTGAAGGAAAAGAAACGAAGAAGATTCTAGAATTAATCTTGGCAATTCGATCAAATGATTTACCCAAAATGTTTTCAGTACACTAACTATTTATCTATATATACAAATAAAGCTAAACCGACTTATGTACAGAGAGAATCTATGCCGTTCATTCTAATTAACTGCCTTAACGATCGTACAGTTGCTGCTATTCAGAGGATTCTGACTGGACTTTATTTGAAACAGACTTCCTGCCAAGATGGACAATGCAAAACAGACGATTCCTGATGATGATGAGAACTGTCTCTTTAGCTTCCATGCATGCAACATTTGAGCTGTGTACCTCGCTCTGTGCATAATTCTTCACCCCTCCTCAAGATAAGCGTTCCAAAGACTCAGTCTTGGACAACAAAAACAAGTATGTGGTGGAAGACAAGGACTTCGTGAACAGATCAGCTAACTAAAGAGTGGTAGAAACATAAGTTGGAAGAATGAAACCTTTCTTGTACTAATCTCTAACAGCGTGACACTTGATCTCAATGTGTTTCGTCCTCTCGTGAAACACAGGATTAGCAATAATATCCAATGTCGGTTGACTATCACACCAGAAAGGGATTGGTAAAGAAAGCGGAATGAGGAAATCAGCCAGAATATAAGAGATCCACTGAAGCTCCTTCACAGTAGCTGCCATAGACTGGTATTTTGCTTCGGCAGAAGAACAGGAAATGGTAGATTGTTTCTTGGTCTTCTAGGAAACCAAGCTGCTATGAAGAAAGATGTAGTACCCCGTAAGAGAATGGCGAGAAGTACGGCATAAACCCCAGTCGGCATCACTATATGCAGTGAGATTCAACGTGGCTGTGCTAGAGTAGAAAAGTCCTCTGTTGATAGTAACTGAAAGGTATCTTAAGACATGCGTTGCAGCTAACCAGTGAGAAGCATGAGGTCGATGGAAAAATAGGCTTAGCCGTTGGATGGAATGAGTGAGATCTAGCCGGGTATAATTGAGATAAAGAAAACGACCCACCAATCTTCTGTATTCGGCAGGATCTTCAAATAATGTAGCCTTATCTTGATCTTCAGAATCAAATATCATGGAAGGAGGCAAAGGAGTAACAGCAGGAGTACAATCCAACAAATGAACATCCTGTAACAAATCATGAATGTAATTTTTCTTACTGATATAAATGAAATCTGTAGAACGAGCAATCTCCATGCCTAAGAAGTATTTAGCATGCCCCAAATCTTTTATAGTGAAGGCATCATGTAAAAAACCTTTGACCTTTTGAATCTCAGCCTCATTGTTACTAGTGATGACAACATCATCAACATAAACAAGCAAATATAACTGACAATCTGCATAATCAAAGACATATAAACAAGGGTGATGATAGGACTGAGTAAACCCATAAGTAATCAACTTTCCTGAAAATTCAAGGTTCCATTGTCTTGAAGCTTGTTTCAGGCTATATAATGGTTTCTTTAGTTTGCAAACTTGCACTTTTTTAGTTTGTGCATATCTCAAGGGTGAATGCATGTACACATGTTAAAAGGCTTCCATGGAGAAAGGCGTTATGATGTGATCATCAATGGACCATTATGTGTAATCCCTAACCATGATGATCATTACAGTGATTGTGATCACATAGGGGTTATATGGTATCATATTGGTAGGCATCAAGGATGATGGAAGATTGAAGCCAAAGAATGGCTCGCATAAAGCCAAACTCAAGTCGATAATGAAGTTGACAAGTTGGTGTCGAGTTGATGATCGAGAGAAGGAAAACAAAATAGTCGACTGAGGATCGTCGACCTTTCTGTCACCCGACGCCAAAATCGACGTAGAACCCTAATTTCTGAATAACAGATTTTCAACAATTTTTCTTGATGTTTTACAAGATTTTAGGCCTTCCACTTATCAAATCTAATTCCAAGAAGGATTTTGCAGGTGGTGGACGAGAATTGGAATTATGATTCAAGAGAAATTATATTTTATTATGTTTTCCTTTTTAGACTAAGTTTTGTTTCCTATTTGTGTTGGGTTTTGAATTTTTCTTATTAAATTTGGCCCTCACACGTTTTTACCCTTTTTTTAGGATACTTTTAATATTAAATAATTGTGACATGTGCAATTATTTAATTATTTCTTAATTTTTAAGTTTTAGGAAAGTTCTAGTCCAAGAAATCTGAATAAGAGTTGTAATCGGATTTCTCTTCCTCCTTGGCCGACCTAGACCCTTCCTTGGCCTATAAATAGGGGATTTGGTCGTGGCTTTTAGATAGACTACGATATGACTTCAATAATAAAGAATTTTATTCATAAACTTGTGAGATCTCTCCTTGTTTTCTTATTCTTGCGAGAATAACTTGTTTTTCTAACAAACTAGGGTTTGTTCTTGAAGCGTAGCTAACCTTAATAAAGTTTTCAAGTGTTCTTGGTCTTTGGATTGTTTATTTGTTATTTTAGTTTAGCACACCAAGCCTTTCAACGTTGATCTATAACGTGTGGGGAGCTTCGGGTCGTTTTGACTAGGGTTTCAAATCTTAAACACCTTCTCCATCTTTCCTTCCCTTCCATCTCGTTTTTGGCTTGGATTTTTGAGGGTCCAGCTGCTCCTTTTCGTGGCTTGAGTGCTTACATAGGTTCTACTTCATGGTTATACAAAGATTCAAACATCCGGGCAACTTTTCAAGTCAAGCTTCCGTGATAATCGCGCCTCGGTTAAAGATTCATATCAATTTGGCCTCAGAGCTGAAGGTTCATTTGTTTCTTCATGTTTTAGTTAATCTTTGCCTTATCCTTGGTTAACTTCTTGTGTTAAAAGTTTGGTTTTTCCCGAATCTCGCATATTCTTCAATTTTTGAATTTTTTTCGGTCTCTCTTTTTCTTGATCCATTTGATTCAATATTGTTTGATATTGTTTGGGTTTTATTGTGAAAGAATAAAAAAAACGTGCAAAAGAGAAAAAAAAAACAAAAAAGAAAAAAAAATCGTTCAAAAAAAAATACGGAAAAAAAATCAATAAATTGTTTTGTTCCTTGTGTTCTAGGGTTCGCAATTTTGCCCTAAACTTGTATTTGAAGCTAGGGTTTTGATATCTCCCTTGCTTGATTTGGCCGAGAACTAGGGTTTTGGAAAGGTGTACCCTAAATTTCAAAAATCTAGTGTCTTTAGGTTCTGTATGCAAGATTGCTAAAATTTATTTGTAACTATCTTGATTAAATTCATGTTCTCCTTAGATCTAGTTGAAATTATCCAGAGCTTATCTTTCCTTGACCTCTTATCTTTTATTGCTTCTTTATTCTCATTGTACCAAGAATAAATTACAAGGATAGTGGTAAGAAAAGAGTGAATCCATCCCTTACTAAATTCTAAACCTTCTTGAGTGATCCTCGGGAGTGAATAGTATAGTTGGGAGGGATAACAAGGTAGTGAGTTCTTTGATACTCTTGTTCTGGTGTGTTTTGTGATGTTATAAGCTAGGTACAATGCGATACTATGATCATTATGATGAAGATTCACAAGAAGAGGTTGAGTCGATGGATAGTTTCTATGACATACTTGAAACTATGATTGTGCCTACTAAGGAAGAAGTTCATCGCTCCTTAAAATCTATATCAATACAGAATTACTATCAAATTAGTGGAGTTGCTAGTCTTGGTGACTATATTGTTGATAATGATGAAATTTCGGATATTCAGGACAATGGTACCTTATATAACTATTTTGATGTTCCTATCGATGATGACTTTGAACACAAGAGGTTTCTTTGGCGTCAAGAGGTTGTGGGGATCACTCAATATCGTGGTCAAGATGACTATTACTTATATGATCCTCCTCCGAAGGACATTATTTCCAAGACGTTAATGCTACATGAAGAAGCCATTGGTGATGATGTCCGAGATATAACGGCAAACAACAACGATGCTGAGGTAGTTGTGGAGAATGTTCCTAACACTATGGATATTTCAGTACCTACTATTCCTACATCTTGTTCGCTCAAAGTGGTCGATGAACATGAAGACCCAACTCTCATGCATTCATATGAAGAAGTTGAGCACACTGATTTTGTGTTCGGTGATAAACTTCCAATAGAGGCGGTGGTATTTGATCCATTCAATGACATTATTAAAGACCTAGGATCGTACAAAAAGAAGACAAAGAATATTATGAGGAATTTCTTCCTTTGGAATTCCATGAACCACGATTCGAGGACAAACCGTTTCGAAGAAAGGGGGAATGATGTGATTATGAATGGACCATTTTGAGTAATCCCTAACCATGATGATCATTACATTGATTGTGATCACATAGGGGGTATATGGTATCATATTGAGGTAGACATCAAGGATGATGGAAGATTGAAGGCAAAGAATGGCTCGCATCAAGCCAAACTCAAGTCGAAAATGAAGTTGAAAAGTTGGTGTCGAGTTGCTGGTCGAGAGAAGGAAGTCAACAAAACAGTCGACAGAGGTTCGTCGACCTTTCTGTCACCCGACACCAAAGCCGACGCAGAACCCTAATTTCCGAATAACGGGTTTTCAACAATTTTTCTTGAAGTTTCAAAAGATTTTCGACCTTTCACTTATCAAATCAAATTCCAAGAAGGATTTTCAAGGTGGTGGAAGAGAGTTGGAATATTTATTCAAGAGAAATTATTTTATTTTGTTTTTCTTTTTAGACTAGGTTTTGTTTCCTATTTGTATTGGGTTTTGAATTTTCCTTATTAAATTTGGCCCTCACACATTTTTACCCTTTCTTTTAGGATACTTTTAGTATTAAATAATTGTGACATGTGCAATTATTTAATTATTTATTAATTTTTAAGTTCTAAGAAACTTCTAATCCAAGAAATCTGAATAAGAGTTGTAATTGTATTTCTCTTCCTCCTTTGCCGACCTAGACCCTTCCTTGGCCTATAGATAGGGGATTTGGTTGTGGCTTTGAGATAGACTATGATATGACTTCAATAATAAAGAATTTTATTCATAAACTTGTGAGATCTCTCCTTGTTTTCTTATTCTTGCAAGAATAACTTGTTTTTCTAACAAACTAGGGTTTGTTCTTGAAGCGTAGCTAACCTTGGCCAAGTTTTCAAGTGTTCTTGGTCTATGAATGCTTTATTTGACATTTAGTTCAACACACCAAGCCTTTCAAGGTTTATCTATAACGTGTGGGGAGCTTCGTGTCGTTTTGACTAGGGTTTCAAATCTTAAACACCTTCTCCATCTTTCCTTCCCTTCCATCTCGTTTTTGGCTTGGATTTTTGAGGGTCCAGCTGCTCCTTTTCGTGGCTTGAGTGCTTACATAGGTTCTACTTCATGGTTATACAAAGATTCAAACATCCGGGCAACTTTTCAAGTCAAGCTTCCGTGATAATCGCGCCTCGGTTAAAGATTCATATCAATTTGGCCTCAGAGCTGAAGGTTCATTTGTTTCTTCATGTTTTAGTTAATCTTTGCCTTATCCTTGGTTAACTTCTTGTGTTAAAAGTTTGGTTTTTCCCGAATCTCGCATATTCTTCAATTTTTGAATTTTTTTCGGTCTCTCTTTTTCTTGATCCATTTGATTCAATATTGTTTGATATTGTTTGGGTTTTATTGTGAAAGAATAAAAAAAACGTGCAAAAGAGAAAAAAAAAACAAAAAAGAAAAAAAAATCGTTCAAAAAAAAATACGGAAAAAAAATCAATAAATTGTTTTGTTCCTTGTGTTCTAGGGTTCGCAATTTTGCCCTAAACTTGTATTTGAAGCTAGGGTTTTGATATCTCCCTTGCTTGATTTGGCCGAGAACTAGGGTTTTGGAAAGGTGTACCCTAAATTTCAAAAATCTAGTGTCTTTAGGTTCTGTATGCAAGATTGCTAAAATTTATTTGTAACTATCTTGATTAAATTCATGTTCTCCTTAGATCTAGTTGAAATTATCCAGAGCTTATCTTTCCTTGACCTCTTATCTTTTATTGCTTCTTTATTCTCATTGTATCAAGAATAAATTACAAGGATAGTGGTAAGAAAAGAGTGAATCCATCCCTTACTAAATTCTAAACCTTCTTGAGTGATCCTCGGGAGTGAATAGTATAGTTGGGAGGGGTAACAAGGTAGTGAGTTCTTTGATACTCTTGTTCTGGTGTGTTTTGTGATGTTATAAGCTAGGTACAATGCGATACTATGATCATTATGATGAAGATTCACAAGAAGAGGTTGAGTCGATGGATAGTTTCTATGACATACTTGAAACTATGATTGTGCCTACTAAGGAAGAAGTTCATCGCTCCTTAAAATCTATATCAATACAGAATTACTATCAAATTAGTGGAGTTGCTAGTCTTGGTGACTATATTGTTGATAATGATGAAATTTCGGATATTCAGGACGATGGTACCTTATATAACTATTTTGATGTTCCTATCGATGATGACTTTGAACACAAGAGGTTTCTTTGGCGTCAAGAGGTTTTGGGGATCACTCAATATCGTGGTCAAGATGACTATTACTTATATGATCCTCCTCCGAAGGACATTATTTCCAAGACGTTAATGCTACATGAAGAAGCCATTGGTGATGATGTCCGAGATATAACGGCAAACAACAACGATGCTGAGGTAGTTGTGGAGAATGTTCCTAACACTATGGATATTTCAGTACCTACTATTCCTACATCTTGTTCGCTCAAAGTGGTCGATGAACATGAAGACCCAACTCTCATGCATTCATATGAAGAAGTTGAGCACACTGATTTTGTGTTCGGTGATAAACTTCCAATAGAGGCGGTGGTATTTGATCCATTCAATGACATTATTAAAGACCTAGGATCGTACAAAAAAGAAGACAAAGAATATTATGAGGAATTTCTTCCTTTGGAATTCCATGAACCACGATTCGAGGACAAACCGTTTCGAAGAAAGGGGGAATGATGTGATTATGAATGGACCATTTTGAGTAATCCCTAACCATGATGATCATTACATTGATTGTGATCACATAGGGGGGTATATGGTATCATATTGAGGTAGACATCAAGGATGATGGAAGATTGAAGGCAAAGAATGGCTCGCATCAAGCCAAACTCAAGTCGAAAATGAAGTTGAAAAGTTGGTGTCGAGTTGCTGGTCGAGAGAAGGAAGTCAACAAAACAGTCGACAGAGGTTCGTCGACCTTTCTGTCACCCGACACCAAAGCCGACGCAGAACCCTAATTTCCGAATAACGGGTTTTCAACAATTTTTCTTGAAGTTTCAAAAGATTTTCGACCTTTCACTTATCAAATCAAATTCCAAGAAGGATTTTCAAGGTGGTGGAAGAGAATTGGAATATTTATTCAAGAGAAATTATTTTATTTTGTTTTTCTTTTTAGACTAGGTTTTGTTTCCTATTTGTGTTGGGTTTTGAATTTTCCTTATTAAATTTGGCCCTCACACATTTTTACCCTTTCTTTTAGGATACTTTTAGTATTAAATAATTGTGACATGTGCAATTATTTAATTATTTCTTAATTTTTAAGTTCTAAGAAACTTCTAATCCAAGAAATCTGAATAAGAGTTGTAATTGTATTTCTCTTCCTCCTTTGCCGACCTAGACCCTTCCTTGGCCTATAGATAGGGGATTTGGTTGTGGCTTTGAGATAGACTATGATATGACTTCAATAATAAAGAATTTTATTCATAAACTTGTGAGATCTCTCCTTGTTTTCTTATTCTTGCAAGAATAACTTGTTTTTCTAACAAACTAGGGTTTGTTCTTGAAGCGTAGCTAACCTTGGCCAAGTTTTCAAGTGTTCTTGGTCTATGAATGCTTTATTTGACATTTAGTTCAACACACCAAGCCTTTCAAGGTTTATCTATAACGTGTGGGGAGCTTCGTGTCGTTTTGACTAGGGTTTCAAATCTTAAACACCTTCTCCATCTTTCCTTCCCTTCCAACTTGTTTTTGGCTTGGATTTTTGAGGGTCAAGCTGTTCCTTTTTGTGGCTTGTGTGCTTGCATAGGTTCTACTTCGTGGTTATACAAAGATTCAAACATCCGGGCAATTTTTCAAGTCAAGCTTCCGTAATAATCGCACCTCGATTAAAGAGTCATATCACGTTATTCACGTCAATGGATTGGCCATTCCTTTGTAGCTGCTATAGCAAATAGAATCACAACTTTGGCCACTAGGAAGAAAACCTCACAAAAATCTTCTCGTTCCACTTGTCTGTAGCCTTTCGCCACAAGTTTCGCCTTATATATGTCAACAGTACCGTCTGCATGCCGTTTGATTTTATACACCCACTTAGAGCCAATGGCTCTCTTTCATGCACGCAAACTAGTTAATTCCCACGTATCATTGTTCTCCAAGGCCTGCAATTCCTTATTCATGGCTTCTACCTACTTTAAGTTTGTTCTAGCTTGATTGTTAGTACTAGGTTCATGGGAATCAGAAACATTGGCAATGAAAGTCATATAAGTAGAAGAGAAATGACAGTTAGAACCATCAAGAAAGAAAGTAGATTTATCATGAGTACATGTAAATGAAGTTTCAAAGTCTTCTATCCAGACAGGTGGCCTTTTGGATCTGAGACTGGATCGTGTAGGTTTTGGTAGTTCAATGACTATCCCAGGAGAGTTGGAACAAGGTGAATCTTCAAACCGTATTACTTGATCTGATTCCAGTTTTAGTTATGAATTTTTAGCGGTTTTTGCAGCATCAGACTCTACAGTTATACGAATATTTTTTGAGTATATACATAGTATACATATATATTTTACAAGAAATTGCCTTGGGTTCGCTGCTTCTAAATTTTTTCTTTTCTTGGATTTTAATGAAAAAATGCTTGGGCTTTTAGGGATTAAAAAATATAGGCCTTAAGGCACTTTCGAATTTTTTCTTCCTTGGGTTTCTGTAGAACACTTCTTGGGCTTTTGGGCATTTAAAATGTGGGTCATTCTTTATGGTTAAAGTATAGGCTTTTAATAAAAAAATAAATGGACTTTTAGGGAATAAAAAACAGTACTTTTAAGCATCTTTTTTGGGTATTTATAGAACCATTCGTGGGCTTTTAGGGATTTAAGATAAAGGCTTTTAAGAAACAATACATGGGCTTTTAAGGAATCAAAATTTTGGGCCATTATCTAGTGATGTATAACATAAGTTTTAGGAATATCTAAAAAAGCCCACTTATGCCAAAATCGGCAAAATTGGTGGCGCCAAACTGTTTATAAACGATCTGGTTAGTTTGGTATAACAAATTTACAGTCACGGAATAAGTAGTAAACTAACTTTTATTACTTATGTTTTCAATTGCAGTTTCAGCATCACTTGATTCATTAAAAGATTCATTTTTATTATCAAACATGCTTAAAGGAAAAAGTGTTTCATCTAATAATTTTAAGCATTAAGTGGTGTTGTCAAACAGGCCCTAACACTACAAGCCAAACTTAAATGCTAAAAGCCTAAAACTCATTTGGTCAACTACAACATAGAAGCCTTAATTTTTATCATTTATATGTCAATTAATCTTTATGCCTAAACTCTTTTTTATAATTCTCAATTTCAATTTCAATCTTTCGTCTTTTACTTCTCGTAGTGACAACAAAGAAATTGTCATTATAGATTGGCAGTAATGACAAGATGTCCAGTCATCACTTGATACCATAATTATTGATATCATTTACTACGTCACAACAGTGACAACGTAAAAGTCATCACTATTGGATAGATTAATAACAACATACAATATTGTTGGTACTTTATCATCGCTAATGTCACTGACAACAAAAACATTGTCAATATATTACATTTTATTGACAAGATTTTAGTGTAGTCACTGAGTTTTGTGCTGCCAATGGGAACCCAATGACAACTTGAAATATCGTCAATAAACAAATCTTTAGTCACAACTTTTTTAACGACAACTTTTGAACTCGTCAGTAAACCTCCAGTTTCTTGTAGTGAAAGAAGAAGAATGAAACGTAACAATAACACAAGAAAAGTAAAAAATTCGCCCAAAATTACCTTATTTTCTCCCTTTCGAGTGTTCTTAGGTTTTTCGACAGTAAACCCATCAAGAATCGATGAATTTTTTACTGTATATTGAAATAATGTTCAAAGTTGTAAAAAGAGATCGCCGTACAAAAAAATTTGGAAGTGTTTAGGATTCATGGGCACTTTAGTCTATTTCACAAGTTACACGAAGTAAAATTAAGTTGTATTTAACAATTCACTTAAAGTTGTTGTAACTTTTAGCAACCAATTCAAATCTTTTTATTTCTTGACAACCCAATAAGAACCTCAATTTTGTATATCATACATAAAATCGAATAAAGCAGATGTTTGTTTATAATTTTAAGAAATCTTTTTTTGGGATACAATATTTACTTCAATTTCGAATCATAGTTATCAATTTTATATTTCATACATAAGATCGGATAAAGAAGATGTCTACTTTTTCTTTTTTTCTTTATGTGAATATAATCTCTTATTAATTTATTTTTTCAAAATAGTTTTGTTTCTCTCTTTTCTTTTTTCACTTAAAGTGTGAAGATATTGTGTCAAAGGACAGATCTTGTTTGATTTTGAATTAATCCTACTCATTTTTAGGTTAAAGGGTATGATTTGAAGAACAAATTTTGGTTTGATTTTCCACACTGATACAACTTAAAGTGTGAATTCACTAGCCATATTGAGATGCTAGCTATGGCGAAAACTGAACCTCATTTTTTGGTTTATAATACTTTGACATGTGCATTGTATACAGGGCAAAATTATGACGCCGCGCAAGCGCGGTTTCAGGTTAGCTAGTTTTGCTGAAACTAAGAACTTTACTTAAACTGAGCGATTCCCAAATTTTGATAATATCTTTAGGTTGATATACATAGCGTTATTGTAAAACTACACTCAATTTTTTTCAAAAAAAAAATAATAATAATTATAACAGAAACTAATGTATAAATAACAGATCTTTCAAACCAAGAAATATTGTCCCACTACAAGAGTCTCAATGAAAAACCTAATTAATTAAGCAAACTAAATATTGCCTTCTGCTCTAAATTCCTTAGCGCTGGAATGAAGACACTTACTGCTCAAAGTATCTATAATCTATTTCTCAATGTGAAAACTTATAGAGTCTTGAAAAAATCGGCATGAATTTTCCTTCAATCTGTGAATCAGAAGAAGACAAAAGTTTAACCATGTCTTCTTTGGATGTCCTTATCTCTAGCTTTTGTTTGTAATATTTCTGAAACCAAAATTAAGCTTCGATGGCCATAAAACCATGCACCATCCTGAAATTTTTCCTAACATCTTGACGGAACAGGAACACTTGTTCGAAATTAAAATGGCAGTTCCAAGAAACTTCTCCAAATCAATTAGTTTTAGCTGTGGACTTGTTTAACAAGGTTTAAGATTATTTATTAAATTAAGTGATTATTCATTTTAATATGTTTCATAATAAAAAGTTGAGTATCGTATAATAATAATGTAATAAGTACAAGATATAAGCACAATTACGCTACAATTGTTATCAAACAGATCTTATGCCTGGAACGTTATTTACTTTTGTACTGTATGTTGTTTCCTTTACTATAGAATCCAAAAGGGTTGTATTTTTTTTTTTTTTTTGCAAAAGGGTTGTATTTAAAATGTAAAAAGGTTTACACCCAAAAAGTAGAAAAATTAAAGGTTCATGTTTGTTATTGAAGAATATTGATGAATAAGGCTTGTTGTTGTTGTTGCTATATTGATGAATAATTTGTATTTGGAGTATTCACATTTGGAGTTTTAAGGCATTAAAGTGATTCACCTGGGATTACTGGTCCTAATCTGCTTGTTAAATTCTCACTTGGCACAATAAGAAGATGATATTTTTCCTTTTTTTTTTTTTAGTACTAACATATAGTGTTTCGCTTCTATTAAATATTGAGTTCTCCAAAGACAATAAGAACTTGGACTTTGTATTCATCGACTCAGGTGATTAAAAGGCTTTGGTTATCACGGAATATTCCATGGTATGTGTGGTATTTTGATTGTTAAGCATCAACTCAATCAAGATTCTCCTTTGTTTTGTGGGTTTCATTTGATTATACCTAATTGGGTTTTATGAAACTTGATTTTAATCGTGGTGTATCACAAAAGTTAATCGGCTGAAAATTGTTGACTCATGTAAATGCAGTTGATCTATGGGGCACCGGGCTTGTGGACGCGCGCGCCTCACCCCTTCTTTTTTCATTTTTTTTAATTTTATATTTTTTTTAAATTTTAAACTCCAATTTAATTGAAATGATTAAACCTTCATAAATTCTAAACACGAAACACACTATATTTTTTATTCATTTTTTTAAATTTAATTAGACTAGGATTCCTAACTTGATTAAGTTAAAAAAATTATAAATTAATCATGTTACATCACATAGTAAATCCTAACATAATTGAAATATTTAAATCCTCCTAAACCCTAAACTTTAATAACTAAACCCTAACCTAATTAAAATAATAAAACCCTCCTAAACTCTAAATATTAATCACTAGGCCCTAACTTAATTAAAATACTTAAACCCTCTTAAATCCTAAACACTAAACAAACTAACTTTTTATTTAATTTAAATTTTTTTAATTCAATTACGCTAGGGTCTCGTAAATTATCGGTGTTACATTAGGGCCTGGAAAACCCTTAATCTATAAATTATTTGGTTTAAACGAGACTCTGGCCTAATTGAATTAAAAAAATTTATAAATTATCCGTGTTACGTCACACACTAGACCCTTAATCTATTGATTGCGTGTGTAAACAGTGACTGAAATTTCACTCAAAAAATATTTTTACAGTTTAAAAACTAAAATACAAAATTAAAAAAAAAACGAAAAAAAAGAAAAGAAAAAAAAAACAGAGCAATGAGCAGGCGAGCACTGCGCGCGCCTGCACAGCCCGGTGCCAACTAAACTATCCCAATAATTTGCGCCATATTGTTGCTGTATATTATTTATTTTCAAGCACGTGTATGTACTACTTGGTCCATATTATATTACAATAAAGACCTTGGTCTACAAATGTAAGGTAATCAACCCCTCCACCTTTTGTTAAAACTAAAGGTATATAAATTAAAGTGAACAACTACTTTTCCGGGCACATTTAAATGTGGACCATGTAGTAGATAAAGTAATAAACGGAAGTCTGATTTTATCTTCCTTCTTCTAATTCAAATCCTATTTTCAGCACATAAACCCAAGCTAAATGTCACAAAAAGTTTCTTCTCTGCCAATGAAAAAACTAAATTACAACTCTAGATAAGCTCTGACAAAATTTCTGCTGATAATATTCCACATTGGCACCGAAATTGTTCATATAGAAAGAAAAAGTTAGGCTTTTTTTATTTCTTTTTCTTTTTGGTTAATTAGAAACTTGTTCATCATATGTTGAAGCGTGTACACGTGATGACTTAATTTTTATATGGTTGCTCCTACTGGATCTTTTAAGTGTTTTAAATTTGTTTATAACTAGGTGTTTTCCGTGATATCCTTTCCTTTTCGTTTTCTCACTTGGATTTTTATTCTCAGCGATTCACATTGAGATGACTAAAAGATCTTGGTTTATCACGGAATATTCCATGATATGTGGCATTTTGATTATTATTAAGAATCAACTCAATTAAAGCTTCTCATTTTTTTTGTGGGTTTCATTTGATTATAATTGATTGAATTATGAAAATTGGTTTTAATCGTGGTGTATCACAAAAGTTTATCGGCTGAAAAGTATTGACTCATGCAAAACTATTGACCCATGCAAACGTGACCGGAAGAGTGGTTGATCACTTTAATTCAGCTACCTTTAGTTTCTACAAGATTCAGTAGCAGATTGATGTGTTCACAACGTGGATCAGGCATGAAACGAATTGAAATATTGGATTTATTTTGTCCACACATTAGAAATCTCGGATATTAAATTTCTAATTAATTAGTAGTTGCAGGGTAGTTGTGACAACCTGTTACAAAATTCTGCTGCTGAGATTTGGAAGAGACATCAAAGAGAACAAGAAAAGGATGTAAAAGAGCATGAAGAAATTAGAATGGGAATAAATTCAATAGTGATGGCCTTCTTGAGTTTGTGTTATATGCATACTTCCTCAGTCCAAAAAAAAAAACAAAAAAAAAGCTAATATTGAGTCCAGACATTTAATGGTGACAATTAAATGAAAGGAAAAATTAGAAGAGTCGAAGTAGGTAGAAATCAATAATGATAACTATGACATACATGATCACGATTTATATCGTTGGTATTTACTATATATGAAGACACACAGGCCTTTCGCGAAAGAAGTACATTAGATATTGCACAAGCTTCCGAGTTAGTATTATTATTGTCAAAAAACCCAAAACATTAAACTACTAGCTATAGAAATGGAACTTCATCAAGTTCTACACATGAAAGGAGGAGATGACATTTCAAGCTACGCCAAAAACTCATCATTTGCGGTAAAAATTTGTATTTATTCTCATTTTAATTCATGTTAATTTGGTTCTTGTTATTATTACGTTGTTAATTTTCTAATAGAAGACACCAATTTGATTATCCGTGAAATTGGTAGTACTGAAGCACTAGCACACAAAATGATCACTTCTTTTTCTTCCCCCTCTTTTCACTTGGCAGTTTAGCTAGATATATAGTAGTTTCACTAAATCTATCATTACTCGAAAAGTTTCTTCTATTAATTTTTTTTTTTTTGTGGGAATCATCTATATATCTAGAAAACAGTTGCAATGAAGTCGATAAACATTCTTGAAGGAAGCATCAAAGAGTTGTGTAGAGGAATTAACATGAACAAATTGTTATATGGGAAATGCTGGATAAGGATAGCAGAATTGGGATGTGGATCTGGACCCAATACGTTGTCAACCATCAAAAGTTTCATTGAAATTTTGGACAAGGAATTTTACCACAATAATAATTACTTGAATAGTTCTAGGGTTGTTGATGATGATGCAGCATTACCTTCAGTTGAGATATTACTGAATGATCTTGTATCCAATGATTTCAACTTGATCTTCAAGTCACTACCTAAATTCTTCGAACAGCTTGAGAAGCATGGACTCGGCGGTCGGGACCGCCCGCTGCCCGGAACTTGCTTTATTTCTGCCGTGCCGGGTTCATTTTATGGCAGGCTTTTTCCGGACAACTCCATCAACTTCTTCCACTCATCTCAAAGCCTCCATTGGTTGTCTCAGGTGATGATTCCCATTCCTCTTGATCCTTCCAAGCTTAGGATAAAATCATTGACTTTACTTGTTAAATAAAGTTATATTTTAATTATAGAATTCACTCTAGCTCAGAATCAAAATGTTCCAAATGTTCCTATTGAGAATCCCAGTCCCACATTGGTGCTGGGAGAGACTGAATATCAATATAAAAGTACATTGACTATTTCTCTCATGGCTAATTGGTTTTGATGTGGAATCCCATGGGCTTCTGTATGGTATCAGAGCCAGCCCGCCGACATTCGGACTCCAAAAAGCCCAACAAAAAAATAGGGCTTCTGGAAATTCTTGCTCCCATTGGGTCCATTGTATCTATATGCATCAAGATCTTGATTCATGGATCTCTCGGTTCAAGAAATTAAAATAAGAGGATGGAACCATTTCTTTCAAGCTTAAGATCAGATCGTTGACTTTATTTGTTAGATGAAGTCATATTTTGATTACAAAATTCACACTAGCTTAATAAGAAAAAACACTTCGATGCTTTTTTATTTAATGTTTCGTTTACATTTTTTCCCCCTTTTTTCGGGGCTCCACCTGCAGGTTCCAGCCAAACTGATGACCGACAGCGGTTTATCACTTAATAAAGGAAATGTTCACATAGGGGAGACTAGTCCTCTGACAGTTCGTGATGCATATTGGGAACAATTTAAATCCGATTTCACGACATTCTTACGAATGCGTGCCATAGAGATGGCGCCACAAGGACGAATGTTCTTCACCTTATGCACAGACACCCCTGGAAGTGTCGGTTTTCTGTATCTGGACCAAACCCTAAATGATATGGTGAAGGAGGGAATCATTGAAGAGAAGGCTTTGGATGGTTTCAACATCCCAATGTATGAACCGACAATGGAGGAAATGAGGTGGATCATTGAGGAAGAAGGGTCGTTTGAAGTGAATCAAATCGAAATTTTCCCATGGGATAAAGATGATCATGGCATTAACAACATGGATGAAGATTTGTTGAGGGAAACTTATGTGAGGATCACAAGAGCTGTGTTTGGGAGTATAATTGGGAGCCATTTTGGAGAGGGAATTATGGATGATCTCTTTCGCAGGTTGGCAAACAACATATCCGAATGCGTTGATATTGCCAATCGGATACAAGATAGTTTGGCTGTTTCCCTTGTCAAAAAGAATTAGTTCCTTATTCTTCTTCCCTTCTTACCAAATCATTGAGAAGATTCCGCCGGGATATGATGTGATTCAATTATTTTTTTGAAAGAATTCTCAATGTGTACTTGCAGAATTTTTTTGCCAAAAGTTAATTCAAAATTTGTCTTTTGCGTGGCATAATCTATTGAGAGAGATTTGCTCAGTAGACTATTTGGTTAGTGTTAATTACAATTATAGATGGCAATTGGGTGGGAATTCTCATTGTACAAGTGATATGGAAACTCCTTTCGAGTTTTGCAGTATGTAACAATGAATTGAAACAATTTCATGAAACCATGGAAGTGTACATTTCCTGGTCGCTTATCGTTATTTTAGTTACTTTTATATATGCTGAATTATACTCAAAATTATTGTTAGAGCTGATCGACCTTATATCTTTATCTATATTAAAGCAGAGTTTTCAATTGGACATAAGTCGCAAAGTCGGATAAACTAATCCATGTGACAGAAAATCAGATAGCCAAGCGACATTTCGCAACAATATCACTCCATCATTTAATGGTAATTTTTTAATGTCAAATAGTAAATTTATAGGTAAAAATAACTAACTAAAAATTACAAAAGGAAAAAAAAAACTAATTATTTCCTCGGGCTATCAATTGCCAATATGGTATGTCGGCATCCGTATCGTTTTGACCCAAGCAAAAAGCAATTGACATGCACTTTAATGTAGGAAAACAATTCGGCTTCCCGTAACTTACCTCATATTAACTTTGTTCAACCTAATTGAGCTAATACTATAGGAAAATAATGTAATTTAGTTTTGAAAATAGGAGATCACATTATCCAAGAGATCATATTATAGCTAATATAACTAAAGTTTATTCAGTCATGTCGCAACCATACCACTTCATCATTTATTTGTGATTTTTATAATATAAAACTAGATGGTACCCACACGATATGCGGGATAGATAAATTATGTATAAAATCGAACATAATAAAAATCAAATAAATATTTTATATTTTAGTAAAATGATTTACAATTTAAAAATACTAAATTAAGTAATGTTACATTAAAAGTAATTTTTATGCGCTACTTATTTATAGAAGTAAATAAAGAGATCTATATATTGATATACATGTTAAATATATTTCATTTTCGTGAATCATCAACATATATTTCGCCATGTTGTCCCTAAGAAAACATCAAACATTGAAATCATTAATTAAGATCAACAAACAAACTCACCGTGATGTGCATTCGAAAATCCTTGCTGCAGAAAACTATTTGCCCACTGCTTCCAAAAGTTAGAAGCAAAAACATTTTGACGGAAAAAAATAATAATTATTAAAAAAACATAAATCCTTAAAAAAATAAAAGAAGAAGAAGAAGAAAAGATTCCGGTTATAAATTGGGATTGCAACCTAATTAAGTTTTATAAGTACACGATATATATATATATATATATAATAATTTTAGTCACATGATTAATGCAATTGAAGTGATTTTAGGCATATGTTTATATTTGATTTTGTTAAAATAAAGCAAATAGTTTTTCGTGTATGCAATTATGACAGATGATATATCTCTAAAAAAATTTTATTTACAATTTCATTTATTATTTTTGAATTTCAAAAAATATTAATGTTTTTTAATGATCAAACCAATATGTAATGGCATTATTCAATCCAATCGGAAAATATTTTCAAATCAATCGGTTTTAATGCTGAATTAAAGAATCTTTGATGATTTTGTATTTATTATTTTTTAATTTCAAAAAAGCATTAATATTGTTTAATGATCAAACCAATATTAATGGTATTTTCAAGTCAATCAGAAAATCTTTTCAAATCAATCAGCTTTATTGTTGAATTAAAGAATCACTGATGATTTTGTATTTATTATTTTCAAATTTTAAATAATCATTAATATTATTTAATGGTCAAATCAAGATGTAATACTATTATTAAGCCAATCGAGTAATCTTATTCAAATCAATCTTATTTAATGTTGAGATTCTAAAAATTTTCTGTTTTTTTTTTTCATTTTAGGGAATGCAAAATAGAAAGTTTACTACACAATTAATTGATATACTTTAATTAAGAAATAACAATTTATTAACTGGAAATTTAAAGGATTATTAGTGTAATTGTTATATATATTTTTTGTGTCAACCTATAAAGAAATGACACATAGTATTTTGTCCTATGTGTCAACGGGAGGAGAAGTTTGATTTCCTGTCTCTGGTTTCTCTCTTAGTATAATACTATAGATTATAAATTTACAGATAAATCTAAATCTATAGTATACATTATCCTAAGAGAGAAACCAAAGAGAAAAACAAAAAAAGATTTGTAAGGTTACCACATAAGATAAAATCTTATGTGTCATTTTTCTAATGAATTGTTGAAATAATATTTTGTGTAAGTATACTAATAGTCCTTGAAATTTCCTTTAAATAAATTTTATCAAATCGCATTTAAACGTTAGTTAGTTGAAAATGGAAACATGCGAAGAGTTAATGGACAAAAATTACAAAAAAAAAAAAAAACTCAATCAAAACACATTAATGCATTGTAATTATTTTCCCCAAAATTTACGGTAGGTAAACAAATAAAAGGAATAATAAATCATCAATCAACATTAAATGGGATATTAACATTATTGTGGCGAAATCAAAGATTGGAATGAGAAGGTAGTATTGCTATTTCCTTTATGAATTAGACGTAAAATATGGTAATCATTATGTTTAAATATTGATTGGAAAAACAAATAATAATTAATACATGATGAATTAGAGGAGATAAGGTTTTCCATCAGTTCTGGATAATTCCAGTTTAATATATCTTATCCTTTTTAAGAAAAAAAAAAGAGGGGATAAGGTTTGTTTTGGATAATAATACTCCGTAAATTACTGAACAAAAAGGGTTCATAACGAGCTATTCATGGCAATACGATTATTTAAGCTAGCATTTGTGTTACGTCAATCTATTTGATGATGACTATCCAAAAACATTGTACAGTTTTCTAAATAAAAATAGTATTTAATCGCTATTTTTATTTAACTGATGATTATGAAACTGTTCGAAAATTTTCGGGTCACGTATAAGAACGTGATATTATTCATTAAATGAGTTAAAATGTGAATTTATTCTCATTAATTTATAACTTATAGGGATTGTTCGAAAATTTTTGGGTCACGTATAAGAATATGATATTATTCATTAAATGAGTTAAAATGTGAATGTATTCTCATTAATTTATAACTTATAGGGCTGTGATTCGATATGGAAGTTTCCTACATCCGGGTCAAATTCTAGATAAGAGGAATTGTCAATGTTGAATACCTCTTCTGTTCTAATTAATGTTATCATAAGGCGTTCTAATTATTCCTGAATTTCTGTTATTAAAAAGTAATTTATAATAATCAGAAGAACATAATAAATATGAAAATAAATTTTCAAGATTTTATTTTTAATTAGAAAAATACAATACATAAATGAAATTTACAAAAAAATCAAAATAACTTATAATAAAAATAGGAAGGAACATTCAGAAATCATGGAAATAGACAAAAATACTTTTTGATTAAATACATTATTGATCTCTGATATCTTTGATTTCATCTAGGAGTACTGTGCAAGTAAAAGTAATCCTAATGATATTACAGTTAATCTAATTTTTTTAAGTGATTTTTTCCCTTCCTTAAAGTATAGTGAACGATTTTGAATGTTAAAAAAAGATATTCTATAAGAAATATATTAGAGTATAATATGAAATTGTTGTAATCAATTACCAACAGAGGGTTCCAATGCCTAGAATAAGACATTGGTTAGTGCTTCAAATTGGACAAATATGTACGCCCACAAGCATCAACTTCATTAATCCAATTCATTTATTTACATTAAAACACCAATTTCAACAAATACATATACACACAACTCCTAGACGTTTCTTTCCCTTTTCTTTCTTTTTTTTTTTTTTAATTTTTTCAAAACTCATTTCCATGAGGTCAACTTATAAATGTGAAAAAGATTTCGACTTATATTTGAATATGCGATAAAATGACTTTTATATGAAAAAAAATATTATTTATACATTTTTATCAAATGTTTCTTACAAAGAGAGAACTATTTTATTATTGATTGATATGCTTATATTTTACCTATTTATTATATCCCTAATTTGTGATTTTTGCAATATATTTTGAGTATAAATATGTTATTTATATGATTTTATCTTTATTTGTAGGAATTGTACTCAAAAGGAGGAATTGTTGAAATTATAGGCTAAAATGAAGATAAAAGCAACTCAAAGGGAGAATCGAAGATTTCATAAATTGACAAGGAAAAATTGAAGTACTTGAAAAATTAGAGGATTAAACAAATAATTTTGGATTTATGTTTATAGAAATTGGCCGAACAACAAGGATGGTACGGTTGATTTGGGATTGGAATTGGGTAAAAATTTTAATACTAATATTATTTGGGAAACAAGTTTTCTTCCTCTCCAAGAAATAGGATTTTGACGGAAGCCTATAAAAGGAGGATTAGGGATTTATTTTTACAACGGGACTGAACTAAATTTGACCGAACTTCACCGAAACCCCAACCCCCCTCCTCCACCGGCAGCAGCCACCTTGCCTCCACCTTCTGCACTTCATCATCATCATCACACCGCAGCCACCTTGCCTCCTTGCTCCACGCCACACCACCATCACCTCCACGCTTGTCATCATCATCTTAATCATCACCATCAGCCCCCATCACCTCACCTCGCACAATAAAACTCCACGCCTCCAACTCTTCATCACTGCCGCCGACGTACCCCATCTCCAACACCAGCCCGCAGCATCTCTTCTACGCACCTTCACCAATAAAAGAAAAAACCCACGCAGCACCATCAGCCCCTCACCATCTACGCGCATCATCGAAGGAAGCAATCAATTTCCGGACTCAACTTTTGGCTTACTTCTCCCGAGTTTCATTGTTTTATTTATTTTTGTGATGATGAGTAGTTAAATATTTTTAATCTAGGGTTTTGGATGTAGTAGCCGTATTATTTAATTTAATTTAATTTATGATTGTGACTTTTTCATTAGTTGATATTTAATATTCTTTTTCAAGTATTTTAATTTCTTCCTTGTCAATTTATCAAATCTTCAATTCTCCCTTTGAGTTGCTTTTATCTTCATTTTAGCCCACAATTTCAACAATTCATCCTTTTGAGTACAATTCCTACAAATAAAGATAAAATCATATAAATAGCATATTTGTACTCAAAATATATTGCAAAAATCACAAATTAGGGATATAATAAATAGGTAAAATATAAGCATATCAATCAATAATAAAATAGTTCTCTCTTAGTAAGAAACATTTGATAAAAATGTATAAATAATATTTTTTTTCATATAAAAGTCATTTTATCACATATTCAAATATAAGT